GCTGTGGGCAGCCGAAGGGCCCGTCCAGGGCAGACAGACAGTGGGGAACTGGAGAACGGGACGGGCGGTTTCCTCTTGCGCTCTCCAGGCTGCTGAAAGCGGAATTTGATGAGGAGACCCAGAGACTCCTGCAGGCCACGGAGGCGCAGAACCCGCGGCTGAAGGTGGCGGAAGACTGATGCGCAGCTCGGGCGCCGACCGCCAGGCCTCGCCTCCGCCTGTCCTGCCGCTTGCTTGGTTTTTAACCCTGGCGACCCTGGTGAGCCGCTGAAAGCCATCGAGGTCCTGGACTTACCCCGCAAAGGCATTTTAAACACCAATAAAGTCTCACGGAACCCTGGCGTGGGCGTGTGGCGTGTGCAGCCTGGAGGGTGCAGGGGCCGTGGCCACCCTGCCGGCCGGGGAGCAGCTGGACGCTGCCATGGACAAGGGCCTGCAGCCCTGCCCGCCCCTGGCGCTACCATGTGGCTGCGGGTGGGGCGCACGTGGCCAGTGTCCCCCACCTTCGCAGGCAAAAGGGGCCGTGGCAAGGGACCCTCTGGCTCCTTCAGCGGCTCAGGACTCCCTGCCGCAGGGCCGGACAGGTCTCCGGCCTCTCCCTCCCGGGAGGCGGTCGCGGCGACTGCACCCCCCAACGGAGCAGGGCAGGGCGGCGACCTGCGGGGCGGGCGGAGCGCCCACTACCTCCTATGGCCGGGGCATAGGAGACCCTGGGTTCCTGGGCCTCGCCCCAGCGCGCTGCCCGGACGGCTCCACCCACGAGGGCTCCTCCAGAGAGCTGGGCTGCCGCCGCCCCCTCCCTCACAGCCTGGGGCACCAAGCAGGGAAGGCCAGGCGGCGGGGTGGCGGGGAGGCGGGGAGCCGGGCCCAGCTCGCGGTGCCCCTGCGCTGCGGGTCGGCCCAGGCGCTGCCCACTCAGACCTCAGCGGCTCGCACACCGCTGCCGCCTTTGGAATGACCCCTGCCGTCGCGCTAGCGTTTTTCTGTCCTGTGCACTGACGCGAATACCCTGAAGACGCTTTGCGGGGGTCACAGAAGCGACCCCACAACAAATCCAGGGAGCAAAACCCGCGGAGACCCCGCGCAGACAGTCCGGCAGCCCCACGCGCGCTCCCAGAGGCGCCCAGTGCACGGCGCTTGTCCGCGGGTGCTGCCCGGCCTGGGCGCGCAGGGAGCCCCGCCCGCTGGGGCTTGGGGGCGGCGTGGCTCGTGTTTCCACAACCGCTGGACAGCGCCGTCAGGCCGCGCCCCTCTCTGCCCAGAGAATCATCCCAGGGCCCTGCGCTCTGCGGCCTTTCCCCAGGGGACACCAGGGGGTCGCGGGGGCAGCCCGTGGCGTCCGCCTCGGATACCGCCCAGGAGCGGCCCAGGAGCGGCCCAGCGTCGGGGCGTGTCCAGGCGGGAGCCGACCCAAGGCCCGGCTGCCTTTACGCTTTGCTTTATTGAGTCTCGAACAGTCACAAGGGTAACCCCA